AAATGCCATTGGTTCTAGTGTTGATAATTTCCTAAACCAAAACTCCTTGTAAAAAGCTTTGCTCTCTGAGAGCCTCGGTTTTATTTTCTATAAAAGTTGTTGTAAAGATGACATGATTTAATTCATTTAAAGCACTTAAAATAGTATCTGGCATATGATAAGTGCTTACTAATTTGAGCAATTTTTATCTTATTCCCAGATGCAGATACTAAGCTGTGTAGATGGTTCCTTCCAAATAACTTTTATATTAATCTTTGCTTTCTATTAGTAATAGCAGTACACTAACCTAAACTCTTACGAGAATTTCTTTTCCCAGGATTATTACTCTAAACTCCTAATTGACTTTTCTATAACCAGTCTTCGGTGCCAATCCATCTTTGCTAGTCAGGACAGGCTACATTGTGCTACTGTGATAAGCAATGCCCTGAATTATTAGTGACATAACCAACAAAAGTTCATTGCCTGCTCATGCAACATGCATAGTGCTCTGCCCATTATAGTCACCCAGGGGCTCAGTCTGATGGAGGAGGCTCTGTCACTGTCCTAATAGCAGGTGGTAGGGGAGGTAGGAGTTGAACACCACCAATTAACTGCTTCTACCTTGAAGTTACATGATTCATTTCCGAAGACATTTCTTTAGTCAAAATAAGTCCAAAGGTCACTTCTAACTTTAGGGGATAAGGAAGTATAATCCTACTATGCACTTGCAAGGAGAACAAAATAATGTAAACTACTCCACAATTTTATATACCTTTTTTTTCTTTCAGATTTGGGCCCCTGGTTCCAGAGCATGGAGCAAGGCCTATTTCAGCCCCTACTTGCTCCCTTAGGGACCTAACACCAAGGAGGTGCACAGTAGATGTTTACTAAGGGAATCAGTTAATTAGTGGCAAGATGTTTACCATAGTTTAAATTAGCTGAGTCCAGAAATGTTTGAAGCCCTAAAAGTACAAGGGGGAAAAGAAGCAAAGTAGAAATTACAATATGTCTCTGAGGATGATAAAGTATGAGCTGAAATTAGAGAAAAGATGCAGTTTTTGTAAGACACATTATAATGAAAACATTTTAAAATCATAATTCTTGTATAATTTTTGTCTTAAGTGAAAGCATGTGACAGCTATGACTGAAATATGTACATTATAAATGTAGTTTTTGTGTTTAATTTTTTTAAGTAAGACAGAACACAGCTAGAGAGAGTCCAGGGAAATACAAATAACAAAACAAAAATAAAAAATACCTATCTAGTTTAGCAAGAAGTGTATATTTCTTTTTTTATGGATTTTTTTATTTTTTATCTGTGCTACTGGAAAACCTCTGGGGTTTGAATTTGTATGTGTGACCTAGTAGGAGGTTGAATCCCTATTTGCTATTTATGCCAGCCAAAGCTAAGCTGCAAATATCTGCTTTTTCCACCTCCCAGATCAAGAATATATTTTTATGTCAATAAAGATTTATTTATAACAGCATTTTTAAAGGTACATTCTATTTTATTGATGAATATGGTTTATTTAAATAACGTCTACTATTGAACATTTATGGGGTTCTCCCTCTTGTTTTTATTTTTTATTTATTTTTATTTATTTTTTTTTTTTGCTATTATTTTTTTTTTCGTTAAATTTTTTATTTTGTCAATATACAATGTATATGATCATTATGGCCCATCACCGACACCTCCCTCCCTCCTCCCTCTCTCCCCTCCCCCCCAAGAATGTCCTTTCCATTTGCTTGTTGTAACAACTTCATAAAAGTATAGTTGTAATTCTGCACTAAATATAATTATAGCTAAATCTACACACATAGCGAAGTTTTCCTTTAGGATAAATCCTAAAGGTAGAATTTCTAGGTTAAAGGTTAGGCTTGTTTTTTTAAAAACTTTTTATACATATTGTATTAGTCCTTTTTCTGTTGATAATAACAGAACACCTGGAACTGGGTAATTTGTAAGATTTCTTTCTACAGTTTTGGAGGCTGGGAAGTCCAAGGCCCAGGGGCTGCATCTGGTGATGGCCTTCTTGGTGGGGTCTTTTTGAAGCATCCTGAAGCAGTGCAGAGTATCACATGGTGAAGGGTACAAGAGCTCATGCTAATGGGTTTCCTCCTTCCCACTCTCATGATAACCCATTCGTCCATTAACCCATTAGTCTGTAAACGGATTAATCCATTCAGAAAGGCATAGTGGCCTCATGGTCCAATCATCGCTGAAAGGCCCCACCTTTCAAATATCATATTGCATATTAAGCTTCAGCATGAGCTTGGGGGGACATTAAAACCATAGTGCACACTGCCAAATTGCTCTTAAGAAACCTATCACTGAGACCCTATCAGCAGTATTGAAATTTATCATATTACCAGACCCTTACTAATTGTCTCTTTTAAAGCAATTGCTAATGTGATCGGCCTGTGCTTTCCAAATCACATTCCAAAAGATCATCCATATTTACAAATTCTTTACTATAAAGTAGTCAGTAAATTAAGTCTCAAAACTTAACAAATTTTGGTTGGTAGCTAATTTGCTTGCAACATTTTTTGCTTGTAGTTTTAGATGATGTCCAGTGAAGAAAGAGAAGGAAACCAGTAGCGATTCCCTAGCCTCAATCTTCTTCCCCTCAAAACACAGAACTCCAGTGCAAGAATTCAAAAACTCACCCCTGGTGATCTCTAAGTTTCAAGGTGGTGAAAAGTATATGCCTCTTACAAAACTTTAATAAGCCCTGTTGTAAATAATGCATTATCAAAATTGTTAGGATGGACAGAAATGCACTTCTTTAAAACCAAATTGTCAGTAAAATATTTATCTATGAACTGATTTATCAGGTCCAGTTAGTATTTTATTGTAGTATGTTATTTGATTTTGGTCAAATTCTTTACGGCCTTTATATTCAACCGTGATAATTAAAATGCAAAAATCACAAGCTACAATAAGCAATGTTTTGTGAGTTTAACTTCCTTTGTAGGTAGAAATTAACTAGTTCTTTAGAAAACTGTATATTTGGGGTGAAAATTCCTATATAACTGGAGCACATATATGACTAGAGAACATATGTTATTATTTTCAAAGCCATAGTCTCAACTAAACTTTGGCTTTTCTGTGTTATGTTATACCTTTTCTGATGGCAGCACACTATGAAAAATCATGTTACATCTCTGTGTTTGTTTGCCCAGAATCCATGGAACAAAAGATATCTAACTAAGTGAAAGGCATTTCATAGTCAAAGGGGACCTTAAAGATATTTCATTTCACTATGTTTAGTGGATACTTAATGGATGATGATGATGATGGTGATAAAAATGAGAAGAGAATTTTGGGAGCTCTTATTATGCATCAGCATTCTGCTTAGTGCTTTATTTATGATTTCTCATTTATTAAATTAGGAAACTTAATTCCGTATTGGTAAAACAACTCTCCCAAGGTCATGAGGTTAGTCGGTACAGCCAAAGATCAAACCCAGATATCTTGACTCTCAGTGCAGTCTACTCTTTATTACATAATACTGGCTATATTAAAACCATTTTAGACATTTTAATCTCAAAAAGCTTTTCAATTTATAATTACATATATCATTTCTATTGATGTTGTTATTTATATAATACATGTTGAAGGGCTTTAACCTTATTTTATCTATTGTCCATATCCTCTAATAATAATTGTTATGTTTTCCATTTACTGAATTTTTACTTTAGACACGTCATCTCTATTCTTTAATATAAAAAAGGAAAATAAATTATTCTAATCTTATAAATGAGGAACCTAAGGCTCAAAGTGGAGCAAATAACTCTTCTGAAGTCAGTTGATTAGCAGTAAAGCTGGAATTCAAGCCCATGTCTGTTTGCCTCCAAAACTCTATTCTATTGCTGCTTATTAAAGAATAGCAAAATCAAATAAGCTTGAAAATTATCAATTTGGGGTATTATAGAAACATATATACTCTTCTTGCTCCCTCTTTGCCTATGTATACCTCATTTCTTCTTAAAACTAATGTGAGGGATAAAATAGTACACTTCACTGTACTTTTTTCAAAATTTCACACTGGACCATTCCACTCTTAAATACTTAGAGAAAATGTACATAGGTAAATAAAATTAACATGTGATTCTAGCCTTTAGATAGATTTTACTCTATGATAGAAAACAAAATTTTTTTCTGGATGACCAAGATATTGAATTAGAGATAAGAATTTACCTCAGTAGGTCAGTTTTCCAATTCTCATCTTTTAAGTGATGTACAAAAATATTTCTATTTTTTTCTTTTTTTTCTTTTATTACTTTATTTATGTGTTAAACACTCACATTATCAGAACCAAATGAAAGCAGAAACTTTCTAACGTTAGTCAAAAATTGATGGCATGTAAGTAAGTCTTCCCACATTTATGGAGGCCAGGTGGATATCCTGCTTCCAGATTCTTCACTCTCCTACCACACCTCAATAATTGTGGAAAAAGCCAAGGTCCTTTCTTTAATTACTCTCATTTGCAGTATTAGTATTAGGCTAGTAGTAGATCATCAATTGGCTCATATGCTTCAGTGATTCATTGATTGCTTTCTGACCATATTGTCTAGAAAACTGACATTGATTTTTCTTTCTTTCAAATGAATGCTAGAGGAAAATCTTTCTTTTTTTTTTACTTTTGGAATATAGATTTATAGCAATAATTATGACGTTAAGTAAAGTGAAATAAATTATTTTCGATTCAAAGACAATGAAAATGTTAAGCCCTGTAATGAAATTTAACCATTATTAGATAAACCTTACTATGTTTTTATAAAATGAGAAAACTTATTTGAAAGGGCTACGCTTAGCAATGGATGCTATCATTTTTGCCATTTTTTTGTAAAATTTCCCCACTTGTCTAATTTTTTCCAAAGCAATGGTAAAGTAAATTAAAGAAAAATGATTTCAGAAACTTCTTCCTTATGTTGTATGGCTACCTAAAAACAGTATTTGCACTGGCAGGACAGCATATTCTCTTAAATGAGCCCACTGATTTTTCATGCATTTTTTTTTTCCTGTGGTCATACAAACTAATGGCTTCTTTGACAGCAGAAATAAAATCCTAAGTGGTATTTTGCATAGTTCCTAATGTTGGCCCCAGGTAGTAAATTACATTGAAAACCTTTGTATCTGAAAATTTTCAAATCCTAAAAATATGTTCCATAGATAATATAATTTAATTGTACTCCAGACATTTCATCTAAAATACCTTTTCTGTCTTTTCCTTTTTACCCTTGTCCTCACTTTTAATGATCTTCGGCTGACAGTGTCTTTACATCCAAAATGCAAAGCAGACAAATGGGCATGTCAGGGAAGAACATGACTAAAAGCACCAGCATCAGTGGAGACATGTGCTCACTGGAGAAGAATGATGGCAGCCAGTCTGACACTGCGGTGGGCGCCTTGGGCACCGGCAGCAAAAAGCGGCGCTCTAGCATTGGGGCCAAAATGGTAGCTATTGTTGGTCTCTCCCGGAAAAGTCGCAGCGCTTCTCAGCTCAGCCAAACGGGTAGGAATTTTTATGTTACCTTTAATTTCGTATTTGAGTTGTCATTACAATATTATATTCTTTTCTCTTACTTATTTTATTGCAGTAATGTGTGGACGATGACATGTTCCAGAGGGAAAGAGACATTTTGAACTAGTTAACCTTTCCGAAAACATAATAATCATGTTTTTTTCAGTGACCAATGAGCCTGCTTCAAAGTGAAACTTGACCACTATTCTTGAAATATATATAATGTCTTTCCTCCTCAGGGAGGAGTTAAGCTGTGGTACCCCTGATTGCCAGTTGCTGACCTTTGTAAAGGTACTCTGGGATATTTCCATTTCTTTAGGTTCCTCAGCTTGAAACCAGCCGAATTAATTTTCCTTCCCAGCAAGTTGCCACGAAGATGACGATGACGCCTCATATTTTGTGTGAATAATATAGTTCTTTTATTGCTGACAACCTAACTTCCTTTTCAGTTTGTAAGCAACATTTACCAGTAATATCAACGTTCTCACTGCAGTTTTTATTTCCCTGTTTAAACTTCATGCAGAAATATTCTCCAGCAGCAAGGATGGAGGAATTTTCTGCTGACGGTGAAGATATTCAAAGCTTTGCTACTTTAAAATTCAGTTTCTAAATCACATCTGCAAAAATAAATTAGACACAACACTCCTACTCAGCCACTGTTAGCAATTAAGAAATTTGTGAGTCAAAGTAATGTCTTTTTTCAAATGGGTGTTGATAATTAAACATTAAATCCCTGGTATTTTGAAAATAATAACATATCTTCTACTTAACAAACAAAAGCATGTAAGTATGGTGTTTCTTTTACAGCAAAAGAAATTATAGGCAACTGAATTAAACCTAATTTATGTTCAAATACTAGGGTTTTTATACACAGAAGTCAGGACATAAATCTACAGCACAAAAGAAATTAAGGTTACATTAATTCCTGGGCCCAGCTAATCTTGATTTTACAAACTATATTAGTAATTCTGGAAATTGAGCTTTATATAATAATATAATAGTTATGTGATGGTATTCCTCATATTCTGAGTATAACTATATTTAATGTGATTTTTGTTTTAGGAATTTTTTCACTTGGTGTTTTAAAGTGTTATTTTGCATTTTACTATATAAGTAGAAGTTTAATCTATAGACTGTGGACATATAGATCATATTTAAATGATTCTTAACATTGCTTGTAGTTATACATAATTAACTATGTTGTGCTCATATGTTGGATGTTGGCCTTTTGAAATTGAGGGGGTTTATTAAAATACTTATCTAGTAGTTAAAACTTTATTTATTGCATTTTCTCATTAAAAATTACAAACAGTCTGTAAATGTAAAACTGCTCTAAAAAAGTCTATTAATTAAAAAAAATAAAAGGAACCTAAAATGGACATTATTAAGACTACAAGCTAGAGAATTGTGGTGTTAAAGTAAAAAATTAATTCCATTCATTCAGCATTTTTCTTTCTTTCTTTCTTTCTTTTTTTGATATATATTGAGCACTTACTGTGTGCCAGACACGTGGAGAAAAGAGATAAGTAAGAAATCATTTATAACCCGAGTTGCTTACAATCTAGTAGGAGACAAATACTTAAACAGATTTGTTCAAGGTCATATGTCAGTGGTAAAAGTAAAATTACATAGACAGTGCACTAGGTGCTAAGATGGAGACTTGACCCAACTTGGAATTCCAGGAATGAATTACTGGAAATTATATCTGATTCGAGGTATCATCTCAGTGACTAGAGTGACTGCTAACTAGATAAAGGACAATTAGAAAGGTGTTCCAGATAGAAACCATAATGAGTAAGGCATAGAGGCATGATGTGTACAGAAATGATAAGCAGTTACATGTAATTTTAACATAAAATATTGGATTGAGTGCCTAGAGATGAGGCTGATAAATAGGGACCAGGTCATGGAGAGTTTTGTAGATCATATTTATATGTGATGGGAAGTTTTAAAAGGTTTTCAGTAGAGGACTGGTATGTTCATATTTGTATAACTTGTAGACATTCAGGCTTCCATTTATTTATATAACAAATATTTTTTGAGCATCTACCATATGCCAGGGACGACCCTGAGAAAAACATGAGAAGACAGAGATCCTTCTCCACTTGGAGCTTATATTCTAGTAGGGCTACAATGAAGAAGTAAACTTAAGTACCCATTTGGGAAAGAGCATTTTAGGATCACTTAGCAAAGTAGTACAATAATTCAGACAAGAGATAACATCCTGAACTAAGTCAGTTGTAATAAAGATAGAAAGGGGTGAAATTTTTAAAGAGCAAAATTAGTAGTCAGTCACCCAATTTAGTGACTGGTTGAATGTGAGGAGGTGAAGAAGAGAAGATGCTACAGTGACTCCTGTATTTTTGACTTGCATCATTAGGTGGATGGTAGTGCCATTAATGGATATAGAAAGTATAAGAGGAGTAGTTTAGAGGAAGAGAGGGATGAGTCTTTGATTTAGGACATTTTGAATTTGTGATGTCTGGGGACATTTCCAAATGGAAATGTCTAGACATACTTAAATAAACACTTCTGAAGCTACTATTAGAAAGAGGGACTAAATCTGAGAGTTATAAAGTTTAGATGATACTTAAAACATTAAACCAATGAACATGGCTGAAATTGCTCAAGAAAAACATTACAGATAAATGAGCAGTAGGCTAAGATAATGCCCTGTGAGAGATTAACATTTTAGAATTAGGCAGAGAAAAGAAGCCCAAGGAGACCAAGGAGAAGGGACAAAAACCGTGAGAGGATAGTGTCAACAAAAGCTAAAAATACAGAAGAATTCAAGAAGAGAATGGTCAATATTTCTCAATGATCAATTTCATGTCTTGACAGTTTTGTCACAAATATCCCATATATTTTTCTTTGACAATATTTTTATTATAGAATTATATATCTGTTGACCATACACTGAGATAATGTAACAATACCAATTTTGTTTTCATATATGAGTAGTCGTAGGTTTTTATCTTCAAAAACATTATGACGTTGGTAGATTTAAGAAGTAATCTTGTTCCATCTTATATTGTATAGCCCTTTCCTATATAATGCAAAGCAGAAAATAAAGGCTCTTTGTCCTTGTCTTCATTACTATACAGTGGCATCATAAGAGTTAAAATTTTACTTGTTCTTAAAATTTGCAATTATTCCTACCTAATTACCTAATAGCTTTGACCTATTGACAATGGAATTCAGATTATCTCTCATTTTAAAGCCTGAGTTTAACTACAGAATAGCCAACAGAGATTGTTTTACAATTACTGGACTCCCAACTTGCAATGGGTTTCTAAATTCTACATTTCTGTGTATATGTTTCAAGTAAGGTTTCTATGTTTTGTTTTCATATGAAAAAAGATGCAATCATGAGCATTAACGGTACTTAAAAAGGAAATCTTCAAATTTAACTATTTAACGATATGACCAAATAGTTTAGATACTAAATTATCTTAAGTAATTATCTTAAGTAATGAACTGGTTTATGATGTTGGATTTTACAATAGCTCCCTTGTTTATATATAAATATGTAAGATGTATTGAGTAACTTAACCTAAAACCAAGAAATACCATGTGAGTTTCCAGGTAGTATGTTTGCATTTTCAAAAATTCATTTCTTGATTCTTCTGGCCTCTATATGGAGATCTACACATAATTAAGTTAAAGAGTTTTCATTTAATGAATGATATAAAGTTTTCAATTTTTAAGATGGTATTTATCATTGTAAAAATAAATATTATTACATCACTATGGATTTCAAGATCAGACAAGACTACTTATTTGCCTTCTGAAGAGTAGAAAACTCAGCAAAATGGGGTCTTCCTATAGAGTAAGAAAATGGTTCTGGATGATCATGCTAATCATATGTAAACAATAATTGGCAAAGGAGAAATGATTTATAAAAATATATTGGCCAGCACACAGAGCAGCTAAATCATATCTCTCTTATACTAACATTATTTTGTATGCTTCTTTGCCTGTTAATAGGAAACTCATCTTTAAAATCACTATATCTAAAGAATTAAGTATGACTTGATAGGCATTATAACCTAGTAGAAAGCATATGGAGAAAATTAGGAGACTTGGATACTATTGCTTACTCTAGGTTATACAATATGTTCAATACAACTTCTTTAGAAATGTGCCCAACATATGAGTCATAGCATGTTCATCTGATGGATGGAATTAACACTTGCTGTCCTAACAGGTTTTTTATAAAGGTGACATTTTTAAATGTATAAGAAAGTGCTTTGAAAACTTAAAATTTTAAGTGCTTGAAAACTTAAAAACTTAAAATTAGGTAGATGTATGACATCTATAACCAATTCAGCTTTGTGGGGGAATCAAGAGTTCTATTTTAGGCATGTTGATTTTTGAGATGCCCATTAGACATCTAAGTGCAGTTGATACATGATTGATTTAATAGATGAGTTTAGAGCCCAGTAGATCAAGGCTAAGGATATAATGTTGGAGTGACCAGCAGGTAGTATTTAGTATTGTGGAAATGCATAAGATTACTTGGAGTAACTTGAATCAAAGAAAAAAACTAAAGACTGAGCACTAGGACATTCCAATATTTAGAGGTCAGGAAAAGAAAGAATTCATCAAAGGACGTAAGAGAGAGTAACCATTAAAGGAAAAAAAAAAGAATATGGTATCTCATAGAAACCAAATGAAGAAAATATTTTAAGAGAGAAGACATAATCTGTTGTGTCAAGAGCTTCTGACAGGTCAAGTGAGATGAAGACTGAGAATTTACCAGTGGATTTGGCAAGATGGAGAAATTTGATAAACCTTGACAAGCCTTGCAGTGGTGGATAAAGACTCACAACAATGTTATAAAGCAGGAATAAGTTACTATTATCCCCGTTTTACAGATGAGAAAACCAAAGGAGGAAGATGAGAAATAACCTTCCCAGATTTACTCAGCTAGTGTCAAGGGTAGAAGTCGGGATTTGAATCCAAACAGTCTGGATTCAGAGACTTCACCC